GGTTAAAATAAATGAACATTTTTCATGTTTGAGTTCATCCAGTAAACCTTTGACGGATTTGTTGCTTATCAATATGCCTAATACATATTTTATTTTATTTTTAATTTTACTGTTTTCTAAACAAGTAATAAATAATAATGTTGAAATATAATCAACCTACCTCTTTGGAATGGAAGTAGGGTTTTTTTCCTCATATTAAATATAAATTCACTCATTTTATCAATTAATTTATTCTGATTTATTTCATCAAGACCATAACTTGCTACACCATTATCAAATTTGTGTTGGGTGTTGAATAGGTCAAACCAATCATTAAACAATGAAATAGTTTCAGAGGCCTGTTTTTACAAATGATTACATTGTTTTTATTTTTAAATATTTTTTATTAGCTTACTAAATTCTTAAGAGGATGTCAGCACAGTATTAATCATATTAATTTCACTCTCATTTGAGAAATTAATTATATGATTATAATCACTATTGTGAACATAACATTTTCTGTATTATGCGCATGAGTCAGAGAGAGAAAACAAATAGTGTGCTAACATCCTCTTAAGATTAAATGTTAAGAAATTAAATCAAAGGTTTGTTGCATAATGATTTAAATAAACAGTACTTACATCCTTTAAGTTGTTGATTTTTATATAATTTTCTTCGCAATGTAATAGAGCTTTAGCAACAGTATTGGAAAAAAGTTGAACAGCTAATCTAACATTCATTCTGCCTGTTCCCTCGACTGAAATATGGTGTTGTGTCAATTTATGTGCCATTCTAAAATCCACATTATTTAAATCCACCAATTCTTGAAACATGTTTTTTCCTATATATTTTCCATTGGGAAGAATAAAACCTCTAAAAGTTTGGTAAATATATTGGAATTATGAATTTAATTTTAATATAGTACAAGGTAAATCTACTTACTGATCAAGTAAATGATTTCTTGCTAACTTAATTAAATGTGGTACGTCTGCAAATACATAAATATTTTTGTTTGTTATAGGATGTGGGAATGAAGTGTTGGTGATTGATATATTTAGACTTCGCCATAAGCCCATATTTGCAGAACCCATGTCATTGACTATGGAAAGTACGTTAAACCCAATTTTATGTAGCTCTTCAATTATGGAGTTTAGAATGTCTCTGCTCATATGTGTATCAAAATTATAGTAGATCACTTGTTTCCAATTACTTAATAAACCTATTCACAAAATAAATTATGTATATTATACTATATACTAATTTGTTATTATTATTTTTTTTAATTATTAGATTTTTCAACTGCTTCACCTCTAGCCATTACTGTTTGTACGCATTTATGAGGACCTATAATCTGTTCATATGCCTTATCATAACATATTCTTTTGGACACATATGTTTCATCGAAAGAAAGAACGGTGAATTTGTCAGTCTTTGACATTAAGGATCCTTAATACACATATAATATAATATTAATTTCTGTACGAAGGAATTTTAATTACTTTTGTGTATACCTTTTGCGTTCATTAAAGTAATCACACTTGAGAGTATTCCATGTTGGACAGGAAATGTTGAGGCCCATTTTCTCAATGTGGATAAACCTAAAATTAATTTGATGATTTAACTACTTGGGACAAATGTATAATAGACATATTATTTTAACCTGGTAATGGAAATTGCTTTTCATTTCTCAAATAGCGATACGCTTTAGGAGAAATACTCCTTAATGTTATTGCTGACGATATATCCTCTGGTTTCCACGAGTAAACTTTATTTTTTGGATGAAGTAACAATTTGATTTGAGTAGGACTCAACAATTTATTTAATATATTATTAAATCTATTTTCAAATCTATAATTTTCTAAATTAATGAAATCATTAAATGATCTCATTTTTGTGTTCTGTGATGAAACAATAGTTTTAAGTTTATTATTTTCTAAAACTAATTGTTCATTCTCATTTTTCAATCTAAAAACAATAAATAATTTAATATAAAATAGTAATTATTTAATTACTTATCTATCTATTGGCAATATTATCCAAGATTAGGTTAGCTTTGGACTTAGGAGTAGTAGGGTTGTCAGTGATCATAGGTTATAAATTTAACTCCACTGGTGCAAAGAAAATCATTGGCATTGAGAACAAATTTGAACTAGGTTAGTATTGATAATGGTTTTGAAAATTGTAAAATAATGGAAAGAGAAATAAAATATTATACATAACATTTTGCTAAAATATTATTTGTTTTGTCCCATACAGAGTTTCATTAGAAGCTGGTCATATAGGTTGGGTTGTGTTTGTATTTATCGAAGGTGTTACTGCTGGCCGAGAAATTTCTACAAGACCTTTTCAATGTGTCATTAGATGTACATGGAAAAAGCACAAAGATAAGAAGAGTTAATAAAATATTTGTATAATTACTTTTGTAGCAATTCATAATTGTGTATTGCATCATCCAATGGCTGTATTCCTGATAGATCAGACTTTGTATTCGAAAATAATTTTACCCTACAGTCTTTTTTCAATAATTTGTCATCACTAAGAATTCATAAATCAAATAAACAATATTGCATTATAAGAATAAAATATTGGCTAAAATTAAGAGTTATTAATTATTGTATTATATTACATACCTAATAGAATATTTTCTGATGTCAGTTAGAGTGTTTCCCAAATTGTTCACTTTTTCAACAGAAAATATTCCACTGGGAGTTTTAATGGGTGACAAATCAATACTATCCTCAAAATCGTTAATTTTTTCAACAGAAAATATTCCACTGGGGGTTTTAATGTGTGGCAAATTAATACTATCCTCAAAATCAGTGCACAAAGTTAATAGTTAAAGTACATTCAAGGTTATTACTATTTAATTCATGTTGTATTATGGTTTCTACAATTCATACTGGGTGGAATTATCTGAATTCATGAATGCACTAGTGTTAGTTGGAGTTTTTATACATATTTCTTCCTTTCTTAAATATGGCACATCGTCATAATCAAAACCCAAAGTGCTATACAATGTATATAGAAAATTAAAATAAATAATAAATAACTAAAGACCGGATTTATATGTTTTTAGATCAATTAATACCAGGTGTATGCAGTCTTATGAAAGTAAAAAATGTGGACGATTCGTTCAATTATGAATGTGTATAAAAAACTTATTTTTGCATATTTCAGAATATTTCATGGGTTAGAGAGAATTTATCCCATTTAACATATTTTGAAATATTTGGTAAATTGTAAGAAAAAATGTATATTTATTTTTAATTTTAATATTACGGTACCCAGAAAAAAATTATTTGAACATTTACAATTTTTTTTTTTTTTATCATTTCAAACTTACTAAAGTGCAATTGTATTCCAATAGAATAGGCAGCTTTTAATACATAATTAATGCCTCACTATTAAAATTTGCATATTTTGCATATTTTAAATTTCTAAGAGAATATAATGAGAATAGTTAAAGGTTTTTTAGAGAATATTTACATCATATTTTAGGTATTTTAAGAGAATATAAATCCGGTCTTTATACATAACTAATAGTTATGAAAATATTATATCATATACCTACATAAGATAATTTTATGGGATGATATTTTAGTTAAAATAGTTTACCTTAGAGGTATAGCATGAGGTGTAAGCTTTCTACCAGCTCGTGGTGAATAGTTTAACATTTTTTGTATTAAAGGCTTTTCGAAATGATATGGTGCAAAATGAAGTGAACATACTACAGCTGAAAATATTATTATTATAACTTTGTAAATTTATAGATAATTTATAATTTATACCACTATTTAAATTAATGCATTTTCCATCAATATTAGAACCAATTTGCATTAACCACATATTTCTAATATCCTCATTTTTTGGAAACCTATGCAAATGAACGTTAGGATTACTCTGTATTCCTTGTTTACGGGAGCCGCTGTCACAATTCGGGAACACACACACAGGCATTTCGTGCAGTTTAGTTTTAAATTAATAATTATAATTTATTATAACTCAAAAGAAAATCAAGTAAATATACATTTCATAGGAAAATAGACAGGTAATTGAAAAAATACACTAAATAAGAATAAGAAAATATGTTTTTATTAAAATCACAGTCTACATATTTTGATATATCATTGTATCAATCACAAATTATAATTTATAAGCTAGGTACCTAATCAAATAATATAAATTATATTTGTATGTATATTGTATTATTAATTGATATAATATTGATTATATAAATACAAGAATCTAAGTATATTTAATATTTATTATTTATACATAATATATAAATTACATTTTTATAATACATATATGACATTATTAATAACATAGATACAAATATAAAAGTATAATTAATTAAACATTATACAATGTTATAGTAATAGAACAAAATATGTACAATAGGATAATAAAAATTCACTCTTTACAATATCATTATATCTATTTTGTCATATTCTACAACTGTACAGTGTACGTTTGTAGGAACTAGGATTCTACAACTGTTTTACACTGGACACAAAAAAAGCGGGAAAATACAGGCCAATGAAATCAGGAGAACGGCTTACGTCACAGTTCCAGATGAAGTGCAGTAGGGGTGCGCGTTCTCGTTTAATATTAGTTATGTTGATAGCATACCTATCTATTTTGTCATGTTGTCCCGTATTGTCATACATAGTATTTGAGGAGTGTCGACCACAGATATAAAATACGACTATCAGTGGCGTGCCTAATACGTACTACTAACTACGTATCCACGTTTCAGTGAATCTGACCAGCAGATCGGAACTGCAAGCCCACGATGGCAACAATAAAGGGCCTTTGGCCCATGCTGGACAGCGAACACAACAGGATGACCGTGCACCAGGCCAGTTTCCGCCGATATCCGTGCGCGGATATAAATTTATCAATTTTAAAGATTTTAGTTTAAATTTTTATTTCAGAAAAAGATATTATTATTTTAACGAATTTTAAGTTTCTTATTCACGTTTTAATTGAAATAATTGTCGCGCGAGGATACACACAGGATGAAAAATTGGAAGCGGCAAATTTATAAGCCCGTCACAAAAATATGTCTTCGTAATGTCGAGGTTGGTTGGGGAAGAACTACATACAGGTATGATCCAATAAACATTATTTAGTAATGCATAGGGCTAGTATAAATCCTTATAATATAAAATATTCAATAATATTAAATAATAGTTAAATTCAAAGCGAGCTTTGGGTACCATATTATTTTCTCTTATAGTGGTTTTTATAATTAATTCAATTTAATTTAAAACATTTAACAAAAATTAAAAACTGCTATGAAGTATGGATTAAATTATATAACATGGTATACGACTATCAGTGGCGTGCCTAATACGTACTACTAACTACGTATCCACGTTTCAGTCAATCGTACAAGCCACCCGGGCCAGCAGATCGGAACAGCAAGCCCACGATGGCAACAACAAAGTGCCTCTGGCCCAGGCTGGACATCGAACACAACAGGATGACCGTGCACCAGGCCAGTTTTCGCGAGTATTCGTGCGCGGACCGGACGCTGCCCTTGGTGCAAGGGGATCACGAGCTCGTGAGTGCAGGCTCTCGGGCACCCATGCAGAAAGTGACGTCTCAGCGACATGACTTCGTCTTCGTGGCCAAGTGTCTGCCTAAGGCCGAACGGCAGCGGGCCAACTGGCCGAAGGTGACCATAGGCACCAACTGCGGCAGCGGCGCGTGCGCAATGACGTGCAGCACCACCACGGCCGACGCGTTCGGGATTCCGCTTTCTAACGGACAACGGCCGTCCACCTCCAATGATTGGTCGCAGGACAAAAAATTGCTGATGGCCAAAGATACGGAGACCAGTACGAGATACAAGCAGTGGATGGTTGGGGCCGCAAGCCCACGATGGCACCGATAGAGGGCCTCTGGCCCAGGCTGGACAATTGCAGCGAACAGTTCAACCGGATCAGTTTTCGAGAGTGGGCGTGCGCGGACCGGACGCTGCCCTTGGTGCAAGGGGATCACGAGCTCGTGAGTGCAGGCTCTCGGGCACCCATGCAGAAAGTGACGTCTCAGCGACATGTCTTCGTGGCCAAGTGTCTGCCTAAGGCCGAACGGCAGCGGGCCAACGGGCCGAAGGTGACCATAGGCACCAACTGCGGCAGCGGCGCGTGCGCAATGACGTGCAGCACCACCACGGCCGACGCGTTCGGGATTCCGCTTTCTAACGGACAACGGCCACTGGCGCGGCCGTCCACCTCCAATGATTGGTCGCAGGACAAAAAATTGCTGATGGCCAAAGATACGGATACCAGTACGAGATACAAGCAGTGGATGGTTGGGGCCGCAAGCCGACGATGGCACCGATAGAGGGCCTCTGGCCCAGGCTGGACAATTGCAGCGAACAGTTCAACCGGATCAGTTTTCGAGAGTGGGCGTGTGAGGACCGGACGCTGCCCGCGGTGCAATGTGATCACGAGCTCGTGGGTGGCTCTCAGGAACCCGTGCAGAATGTGACGTCGCAGCGACATGACTTCGTGGCCAGGTGTCTGCCTGAGGCCGAAGGGCAGCGGGCCACCGGGCTGGAGGAGACCTTAGGCACCAACTGCGGACAGCGCCGCGTGCGCAATGACGTGCAGCACCACCACGGCCGACGCGTTCGGGATTCCGCTTTCTAACGGACAACGGCCACTGGCGCGGCCGTCCACCTTCAATGATTGGTCACAGGACAAAAAATTTCTGATGGCCAAAGAGATGGAGACCAGTTCGAGTTACCAGTAGTGGGGACCTCTGGAGTTGTCCCGGCCACGGTCGCTGGCCGCGTACTGCCGGTCGGGAGATCCTGTCCATGGTCGCACCGTGTACACAGTCAGTTACCAGCCACCCGGCTGGTTCCGTGACCCGTTGCCCGGTGAACAACCCCCGACCAACGGGTACGGAAACGATGATAAGTCCGCCGCCATAAGTTTTGCCCCAGAGCGCACGATTACAATTTGTATAGTCTATTGTAAATATAATTTATGATTTATGTGAAAAAATAAATAAATACTTTTCCAGCATGTAAATTATAAAATCAATAATATAAAAATATTCATAATTCTTTGCAAAAAAAAATACCAATATTTTACTGTAGTTATTTTTTTTTGCAAAGAATTGTACAAAGACACAAGGCTTGCTCGCCCATTTTAGTGCCTACATTGAAACTATAAGAAAGGTGATTAGGTGAAGTAATAAGACTTCATTATTTTGTACTTACATTTTTATTCTCTATCTTAGTACCTCTTACGAATGTGAAGTTTGTCCGTCCGAATAGATTGTGTGATGGATTCAAACAATCGAGTGGCAAATGTTACCTGCAGTGCCGTAACTAGAGAGTCAAAGGCCCAGGTACAAACAAAATGCATGGGCCACTCTTTCTAGAGGTACATAAAAAAGTTTATTGATTAAAAAAACTTGTAAAATAAACTACATAGGTAGATAAAATAAATAAGTTACAAAAAAAAATAATAATTTGAGTTTTCATGACAACAGTTTTCATTATAGCACTAGAAATAAAAATAAAAATAATTATAATTATCATTATATTATAATAATATACCTATTACATATTTTATAATGTTTAATTATTAAAAAAAACATTTTCTTCCGAGCTTTTGCATTTGCAAAATCAGCAACAATCTTTTTGATATTAATTTCATCAGTACGACCTCTTTCAATACTTAATACTGATATAATATTACTTAATTTTTCTTGGGAAGTAGAATTTCTCAAGTAATTTTTTATCAATTTAAGTTTGGAAAAAGATCTTTCAGCTGAAGCCACAGTTACAGGAATCGTCAAAAAATTATACAAGCTGTTAGAACATCACAAAAAGCTGTTGATAAATTATTATTCACAATAAATATTATAACACCATTAATATTTCTGATATCTGATTTATTTTTTATTATAGATTGGATACTTAGTAACTGTCGAGTAAAATCTGAAGTCACATCTGACTTATACAGTTGAATAAAATCAAATGAACATTTTATTAAATCATTTTCTTCAGTACTTTTAAGAAAGGTTGGATTTAAAAATTCAAAAGTCGATGCGATTACTTTTAATCCTTTAAATCTAGTTTTTAGTTGTGCAAAAGCAGTATCTACTACTGGATAAAATATTTTAATTCTAAAGTTTTCTTTCGTTATATTCAATCTTCTATTACCATCGATTTCGTCATAGTGTAATTCGGTGAATCGTTAGCGTTTTGATGGAAATTTAGATGAAATACCCCATTTAGAACACAAATCATTGGCAATATTAACAATATCATTGTAGTTCTGTCTCAATTCCGATAATGATCCAATTGCTTGCTTAAGGAGACCACAAGAAGTTTGAATATTTATATCAACACTTTGTAATACTTTTGAAACACGTTGCATACTTCTCAATACTCTTTCCCATAAACATAAAAGTAAAATGAATTCTACAGAATCCAATTTGGACCGTATACTTTTGCTAACATTTCTTTCATCACCATTAGTAGTTGTAAGAGTAATTTTTGTTAATGTGATCAGGGCATCATTAAATCTTTCTTTTAAAGCAAATATAGCTTTGTATCGAGCTTCCCAACATGTAGCGCATACTTTTTTAAGAACAGCTTTATGAACTTTTAAGATATTTTCTTCTCCTAACGCTAATAAAGCCCATCTAGGAGCTGAACTGCTAAAAAAATTGAAAACTGCTTGTACAGTAATAAAAATACGTCAAACTGTGTCTGAACTTTTAGCAGAGTCACAAATTACTAGTTCAAGTTGTGAGCCCAACAATGTACAAAATGAGCATTTGGTACTATGTCTTGAATACGTTTTTGAACACTATAAATACCACTCATCACTGCGGCACCATCATACCCTTGACCACGACATTTAGAAATATCTAAACCCAATTGAGAGAGGACATTTATTATGATATTTGTGTAGTCTTCGGCACAATGATGAATGATGATCAATTGTATAAAACCCAAGAAATAACTCTTTTATACAAACAGTATGCTCAGTATAATCAATAGTAACGTAACAAATTATGATACTAACTTGGTCTAATTTTGTAATAGGTATCTTGAGTTGAGTCAACAATTATAGAAAAAAAAGTAGAAATTTTTATTTCATCACAAATGATTTTCCTTAGGTTACCTGACAAAATTTCAATTAACTCATTCTGAATGGCTGGACTTAGATATTTAATGTGGCCATCTTTTTTTATCAAGAAGTGTTCTTAAAAGTGGGTCAAATTCTGCAAATAGTTGGGGTCTATCTAGCAAAGGAACATTATCACATTGAAGTGTATTAAAAATATTATTATCGAATGCAAATTTATTATTACATATTTTTATTATATTTAAATCAAGATTTTTTAAATTTAATGTTTGTATTTTATTTTGATGTGTGGCTTTAAATACTCCTATACACAACAATGTTTTACCCTAAACTATAAATTCATTAATCAAAATCATTCTTAACAAAACTAAATTGAATTTTACTAATATAATTTACCTGAGTTGAAGGATTGAACTTTTGGTCAAAACTTTTGATCTACAAATTGTATTATACCATATGTTTAAAGTTAATACAAGTAAGTTCCATCCTTTGTATGGTTATAAATACAAGATCATAAAATAATTGTAATTAAATTGTACCATTTAATGGCATTTATTTTGGAACTCAACGTCTAATAATTAGAAGAGGCTTGTTATAACATAAATATAATATTAATTTAACCAATTTTTATAATTTAACCAAGTATAAGGAATATATTAGAATATTTTCTCTTATATTTAATATTAAATTAAATATTTATTGTTTTACTTTACTATGTTGTAATATGACTTAACATAAAGTTATATTTATTTTAATTTTAGTTCATTTTTAATATGAAATCAATCATTATAATTCAAGCATGTGCTTATTGGATGAGCTTGAAACTTGTTTATTATATCTATATTGTATTTCTCGTTTGTTGCAACAAATTATACTTTTAATCTTTGAAGTCAAGGACTAAGATATACTATAAAATTAAAAATTTAAGTATATCTTAGACCGTGTTGTAACTAGTAAGTGTATGTATAATGATATTGTAATTTGTAATACATATTTAATAGTTTTGGATTCCCGTCATAAAATTATCACAGTTTATCATAATTTATATTTTGTAAACATTCACCTCTTAGATAAGAGTATTTCGGCCATTTTGTCGGCTTCATAATTATTACATTGTGGGAATAGGGAGTCGTCTATCTAGTATTTTTATATATCAGTGACTACACCTCAATCTAAGAGGCAAGGCGGTAAACGTCTTGTTTCCAGTCTGTGGTAACAGGCCACAGGAAAAATCACATATAAATGATACATGGCATCCCAGACTCCCATTTGGGACCAGTTGTGCCATTTCTGATTAATGTTAACCGGAGTTTGATTGACTGAATTTGCCCGGCCTATCACCTATGAACCACGGATATAGATGCTGGTATCTTAGTCTTAATGACCCTAAATCATAGAGTATACTCAATGATCTAAGCCCTAAATACACCACTGATGAAATAACAGTATAAACAATAAATTATTCTACATTTTGTATCGAATAATAACACAACTTTGTTTGAAAATTCATAGCAATTTTTTTTTTGTTCCTATTTTTGTGATGGATGTGTGTAGTTTTATAAGATTGGCCATAAACTCATTTTCGCCAAATTTCAAAGACTCACTTCGTCCATCATTTCGTGTTGTCCTATCAGTTTGAATATATCAGCTAGTTCATCATGCGGTGTTCTGTGTTTACCATTGTTCCTTTCTGATCTATTATTCAATTGCTAATAACACATGTCATACTGTAATAATCTGATTAACGATATTTGATTAAGCAGTTTACCTTAAAAGTCTTGAATATGTAATCTAACCATTATTGAATCTTTAGGTAATTTTAGATTAGCCAAACTTTCCAATACTTTATCATTGCGTAATTTTACCATTGTATATAAAACAGTTTTACATGTTTTCATTGGAATGTCGCACGGTTGTTTATTCCAATATTTTAAATCAATTTCCTAATTTTAACAAACAGAAGAGTTCAATAGTTGAAATACAACACATTTTTTAATAACATAGTGAATTGTATAATTTACTTCCAAGAATTTGTGTACACGTTCAAATACTAGCTCATAACATAGATCATCGCCTCACTTTTCAAAATCTTTTGTAATTTTCCATATACATTTCATTACCAACTCTTTAAAATGAGCTGTTGAGTTTTGTGGATTTTTGACCGTATCATGAAGTATAGTTAAAATAGAGCTGTGGATATATAATAAGCGCGATTGATTTAACATCATTGATTTAAAGAAATATTGAAATATAATATTCTTACCATGTGACTGTAGTATGAGCACACAGATCTAGAACTTTCATAATGAGGCTGTTCACACATTGCCAAAACATTTTAGTGTCTGATCTATTCTCTAGTTCCTTCGTAGATAGAAGATACAACAGTTTTAAAAGTAAGTTGTGCACAATTTGTTCAGTTAATATTAACATGAATTCTTGATATTTACATAGCTAAAAATAAATTTACCAAAGATTATAATGTATGAAAATAATTTTATTAGTTAGGAAATTGTTCAAAAATGTATCTGCCAAGCCAATCATTGGCTTTGAGTGGTAGAAGATTCTTTCTTGCATAGCAAATGTACAATCGGTGTTGTACAGGATGGGGCACTGAAACGGCCGATTTTGAATATAGATTTTCTGAGTAGTAATTAAGAAAAGAATTCTCAATAATATTATTAATAGTTCTAAGACAACATGCCATTTAGTAAACATTGAACAGTGGAGTGGTAAACAACGTGCTTATGCGATAAAATTGTTTTACAAAAAAGACAGTTACGTAGCCGCACAGCGTGCATTTCGTCTTCATTTTAATGTTAAACGCCATGATTCGGTACCATCGGCTAAGGCTATTCAAATATGGATAACCAACTTTGAAGAAACGGGTTCAGCATTAAAAAAGAAGCCAGTACGGCAAAAAACCATTCGCACACCTAAAACGTCACTGCTGTTAGAGCCGTGTAGTGGAAAATATACGAAATAGGCTAGAAGAGTGTTTGAGAAGAGATGGCCATCATCTTGAAGACATCATTTTTAAAAAATAAATGGCAAGTTATGTACTTCATTATAATAAATAATAATTAATTTTTATTCGTTTTTTTATTTTATAATTTGTCTTAGAAAATCGGCCGTTATAGTGCCCCACCCTGACCCTGTACTACTGTGATTTTAAACCTAACTTAAATATTTTAAGCTGGTTATTATGAACCGCCAACAATGAACCAGTGGTTATTCCTGAAAATATTCACTTTAAACAGAAATAATGTTTTTACATTCTCCTTCACTGTACTATAAATTAGAATAATAATATTATTTTTAGATATTTTGGTAATTACAAAAGTTACGTATATACAAGAGGTAAAAATGTATCAAATTTGCATCATCCTAACGTACTATTCTTAACTTTTGATTAGAACATTTAATTAAGAACTAATATTGTTTGTTTTGAATAACAAATTTTTACAAACTTAAATTCATGTTCTATTGTTCATGTTTTAAAATCATTAAATTTTAACAGTCTAAGGTCTATAACTATTAGATAAGATAATGTTATGTAGAATTGTAGAACTTACATTCAAACATAAATGGAATATATTCTTATATCCGACAGTGTCCGTATACTCAGATAAGACATCAAACTGTCTAATAATTCCATGAAAAAGTGACAACACTTTTCCATCTTCTAAAAGCTTTGATCTTGTCTGCAACAAATAAATGTACAGAAAAGTCAATAGTAATATATTACAATATTAAACGTTATGCTTACTTCTGGTTCTATTAACATTTTATCAAGCTTTGTTAAAGCAACTTTTGATGTTTCTAAATGTATTGATGTCACTTGATTTATCAACTGCGTAATAGGATCAATTGAAGCTGTTGGATTTTTACATTTTATAACGGTTGCAGTACTATATGGGTTCACGTTTAGACTTGGTCTATACAACGACGGACCATCAGGAAATAAACATCTAAATATTATGAAATACTCATTTACCTAAATGTAATGTTATAAAATATGAAGATACATACTGAGATTTATCTTGAAATATTTTTCCAAAGTTTATTTCTTCGTGATCTACGGTCCACTTATATGGTTTTAATACTAATTGTGGTGTTTCAATGACTTCTGAATCCAATTCCTGAATAAATTTTTCATCTAAAGCAAAACGAGTTCGGGTGGCCTGAGTTTTTCCAGTGATTCCAATGTTAGATACTATTCTACAATAAAAATATATGAATGTATTTGTATATTTTTATAACAAAACTAGCAGGCCGAGGTCTAATATAATAGAAAAATATTATGAGCAGATTAGTAAACAATGATTTTTTTTAAGTAATTCAAAAAGTATTGATCATAGAAACTTGAAACATTCCACTTTAACATTACAGTAACAGCAGATTACTTAAATTATAATTTTCTATACTCAGTTAAAATTAAAAAATATTAAGACTATTTAAAATACCTAAAAATATTTGAAATGTTTGAATTTATTTAGTTCTTTTATTTTTTAGTGTTTATACAGTTTTTAGGCTCAATGTTAAAGCTTGAAAAATTAATACAAGATTCCACAAGTTGTTCTTCTAGAAATTTAATAATATATTGCCACAATTTTTTTATAAGCTTTTGAAGTTAAAATAAGGATTTAAATCAGATATTTAAACAAAAACTACCAATTTTAGTTATTTTGTTGTAATTATTGAAAAATATTATATTGTATACACACAATGCCATTTT